ATAAGGGGTATCTCCTTTATGGGAGGAGCCCAGCAAAGGTTCTCTGGAACAGGAATAAGAGAAGAGAGGTAGAGTGACATGGAGAGATTTTAAACTCAGAGGCACATAGTGCTGGGGGCTTACATTAGGTGATTTTATGCCCTTTTGGTAAAGCAAGAGGTGAGGTCACTGGAGTGCTAAAAGGAGATATTTATTTCTGAATTGTAGGTGAGGGGTCATCTTGCTTTATCAAACCAGTGGAAAAGCAAGGGTCATTAGAAATATACACAAACCTATCAACAAAACCTACCCAGACATACTCGGATATATGCATTACAATAGAAATACTGATGACACTTAAACTGTGCAGGCCCGAGGACCAGGTGGTCCTTAAGAACTAAAAGGCGACTTCTAATCTCAGATTTTCTCTCTCTCTCTCCCCTCTCCCCTCCCTCTCTCTCAAGTGGCTTTACTGGCAAAAAGGAACATAAAGTGCAGCCCACCTAAATCACATTGATGTACATTTTTCCTTTGTGGTTTTTTTTTTCTCTTCTAAGAAGTGTTTGCTATTTAAAATCTGTTACTAGGTGATAACACAATAGCAAAGCACATTTTTTTCTCTCTTCCCAAGTCAACCCTATGCGTGTCTCTATGTGTTTGCAAGTGAAAATACCTGTTGCCGTGCACGTGAGAGGCACAGAATGCAAAGCTGTAATGGAGCAGGGTGGGGTCAACGACAGCGCCGTTTTCTGAATGTTCCATCAGCTCCGTCAGGTAACACAGATGTCGGTGACAGCCTCGCACTCCGTAGCGGGCGCAGTACTCATCCAACACAAAGACTTGGCCAGGGCTAAACCAACCCTGCAAAAGAAAAAAAAAAAGATTTTTTTTCTTCTTTCTGTTTTTCTGCAGCTGCTGTTAGGCCTTATAAGCAGAAGCTGCATTGAAGTGTCATCTGACATTTTGTTTCATTAGTGGTATGTTTCATATTATTTTCAGAAAATCAAATGTCATCAATTTGGGGACGGATTTGGGACCCTGGCAACCCAGCACCAATCTCTTTCTTGCCCCGGCAAGGCAGAGGCAACCTGTTTTGCTCTCCTGTCATTCAAAATCAGTCAATTTTTTCCCAGTATCTAAATTGTCAGTCACAAAAAATGACGTTCCCAAAACTGCAACCTCTGTATGAATCAATTAAAAAGACAATGGTATGGCAGATACTATAAGTGAAATTGCCTAGTTACCAAAAGCATTTTATAACGTGAACTGAAAGAAAATTCCAGTAAGTCTAGCAGTGGTGAATGTGTACTACTTGAGTATTTAAATATTTGGGATATTGTTCTCATTCTGGCTGTCTCTCTATGGTGAATATAATGAAGTTAGTATTTGTTTTATAAAATGTTTTGCTGGATTATATGGGTTTACTTGGATTATTTTAAGATAAAAAAATGAAAAAGGGGAATGGAAAGTTTTAAAAGGGGGCAAGAAAATCAAGGAAGAGAAGGAAAAGAACAGTGAGAAATGCAGAAAGATGAACTTATTGCTCCATGTACAGCAATAAGGAAAAGGAGGAAAAAGAGAAAAAAACCTCCAGAATATTTAATATAATGAGGGTGCAGGCAAGATGCTAGATACACTGCACGTAATATATCTTTAATATTTAGAACTATCACACATGGTAGTTATTATGAGCTCATCTCCATGCTACGAGTATATAAGCTGAAGCTGAGAGATGCTCTGTGAATTGCTCAAGACCACGTTGCAAATCGGCCATGATTTACATCCCGGTCATCCTGCCTCTAAACTCTCTTTCTAATCGCCATGCTCACTACCCTCTAGGTGCCACTGAAGACACACTGTGGTGTTCTCCTCACACTCCATGTGACATATGGGGTCCCCCATGTACCCCAAAACAACTGACAATTCAGTTACCGACCCCACTGAGTGGAATCCAGGATAGAGTGTTTCCTGCTGCTCACTCTATGTGTGCTTGTCTATGGAAAGGTATCGTAAGGTTTCCTGATGCTTTCTTTTACTCTCCATGTAGTTAGGGCTGGATCAGGTTTAAGCTGCAGAGTGACACGTTGAATAATAGGTACTTAGTAAAGTGTCTATAAGTGAATTAATGAGCCATCAGTGTGATCATGACAGTAAGTTCTTTCATATCTTCCTGTCTATGGAAACGCCTCTGATGAGCTGGGAGTACATCCTTTCTGCCATCTTAAAGACAATGTAACTTGACTGCACGGAGTTACCGTGTTCAGTGGCCAAGAGACTACATGGTTATAGAAATAGGCATATTCTGGCTCAAAAAATTCTAGAGGAATCACCATGAACAATATAAATCCTTGGAAAGGTACAGAGAGATGCCACATTCTGAAGAGTCAAGCAATCCTTCTAAAAGTAAATTATACTTTGTGCCCCCAGTTTTGGCTGGTTTCATCACATACCCGGTAGCAGGTTAGCTACTCAATTTAATTCCTTTTTTTTTTCTTTTTAAGGAATTCAAATTACCTTTTGAGGGTTAGACAAAACTTAAGCTCTCCTCTGTTACATATAGCCCCTGTCCTATTTAAACAGTTTATCCCACTGTCTCTTTTCCCTGTCATGTAGGTTGTCTTTCTAGGAACAGAAGAGGGGAATGAAAGATATCAAATTCGGTGACTAGACCTTAACCATTAAAAATGTCTGTAGAGTTGTTAGTAAATCCTGTCACACAGGTTTTTTTAATCTTCATTAAAGCCTTCTATTTTCATTCAGCCTTCTCCGGGGGGACAGATAAACCACAGTTCAGAGTTTGAGTCTCTTTTCTGTCTAGTGAGGGGTGTAGCAGTGGTCTCCAGGTGCATAATTTTCAAATTGGGAAGCAGTCGATTGGAGTCCTTCTTCCTTAATTAACTCCAACTATAGTTGTTAAATGAGTCAGGAATAAAACGCCGCTTCATAAAAAGCAGTTCTCACTTTCAAACTTTTAAATTATAATCTATACGGGGCGAGACAGACAGACTTGTACTCACCAAGCAAGAATAGGAATCATTCAGTCTGTGGTCCAAAGTCTGCCTCTGGAGGAGTCTAAAAAGGAAGGCGTGGTCAAGCTTGCAGGGGTTCGCAGAAATAAACTCATCCATACCATGTTTCTGGAAACGGTCTGCATCTGTCAATTCAGAAAAGCATGTATAGTACATTTATTTTTCTGGTTTAAGAATAGGCAGATTCAGTTTTTGAAAATCACAAAATGCATGCCTCATGATAACAGAAGACGACCTTTGATTCCATAAATTATGCCAAGAATTCAGCACATGAACATAAATTGCAATTTTGGGGAAGCCTAAATAAAAATGTCAGGGAAAAATTTGCAAATCATTTGGAATGAGGAAATCCTACTTTCATTCAAAGCTGCTTTTCATATTCATCACAGAAATAATCTTATTTTTTAAAAAAAGTTGATGCATTTTAAGTTCATAATGACTGAAGGAACTGACTGGAAAAGAACCCCAGTCTATTCATAAAAGAACTGTAATGATAGCTAGAAGCTTGCTTTCCAAATGGCAAACTAGGGCAGAAATGAACACACGAGCTTCCGCTGGATCTCTTCCAGTCTTTCCCCCCCCACCCTGTATGGAGCTTTTAATGGGACCAACCTTAATGTAGAAATGGCAACGAATGCTCTCAAGCTTCAAGTTTAAGAGACATGAAAAAGGGAGCATCACGTTTGTACAAATATGCAGACAAAGCGCAACGTCCCAAACGGCACTTCAATCAAAGGCCTGAATTTGTTGTTCTTTACAGATTGCATCTTTCAATGCCTGTAGACCCTGCGGGTTTATCAAAAGGCAAGCTTTTACGATTGCTCTCATTAATGGTATGTTTTGTCAAAGTCTTCAATGTGAGGTATTTACTAAGGCTGGAGAAAGAGGGCCCCACATCCTCCAAAAGAAGGGCTGGGGTGTCGCTACATTAGCTCTGTTAGAAATGTCGCGCATATTGGGCAAGCAATCCGTTATCAAGACAAAAGTGGATCTCCTCACAATGGTGGGGCTGAGGCTCCATTGTTCCTTAAAATTCACAGAGAGATCTCACTTCTGGTCATGACGAGCAGCAGAGTTCTAAATGTAAGCTAAATGTAGTTTTTAAAACCTATATGGTGCAATACTAAAATTGCAAAGGAAAGGAGACAAAAGTCTATTGATTAAACCCAATTACAGAGGCGGGCTCATAATAAAACTCAGTATTGATCTGTGGACATGATGCTAACATAATCAGTCACATTTAGATATTTAGCTCAGATCATATTGATCCACGTCAAGTTCAACTTTCAGCCATATTTGTCGATGGAAGGACTATATAATTCAAGCTGAAGGGTCTTCAGAATCACATTTTAAAAAAACATACACAAACTAATATATATCTCACATCAATATCAAAAGGTGAAGGTAGCGAGTAAGCAACGAATGGCCATTCACTAATGATGCAAGGTATGAGGTTATGATCCATGAAGAATGTATTTCTTTGCATTTAATAATTACTTATCTGAATGATTAAACACATTACATGTGGTAAATTAGTATTAATTAGATGAACACTTAACTCAACTGCTTTTCCTGAGCTGAGAAATGAGACAATACAACTTCTCTTGTATTTTATTCTTATACCTGATTGTCTTTTAATATAAAGTTAAATATATGATAATATGAAATAATATCAAATGAGTAGGAGGCAGAACATTGAAAAATGCAAGGTGCATACATTATAAAATCAGAAAATTATGCTTTAAGAAATTTGTCTTAGAATCTTTATTTCTCCATTTATATGAGTAAAAAAATCTTTTAGTATCACCTTTATGAAATTAAATTACTGTTTTTTTTTTAAAACATCTGCTGAATGTTATTTGTTATCTCTTTCACCAGAGAAGGTCAAACAAGAAGTTAAAAATAATGCCCATTAATGGCTTTTCTGTTGAGAGCAGGATATGTAATAAATTTCAGAGGAAAAAAAAATCCATAATTCTTCTTTTGCTGTAAAGGTTTGGAGAAGCAAATTTCTATTTTAAAACAATAAGTACACAGTCTTTAAACAAAATATACAAGTTCCTGGAAAAAATGAATCTATGGTTCATGTCTACAATAAAATCATATTTATTTTCAAAAGTGAATTTACTTTATGAAGCATTTCCCACATGAAAGATGACTCTAAGCCATATGTTTACTAAAGTGACAAACATTTCTGAATCATACACATAAATGGAAAATTACCTTTCCAACAATTACCATTAGTGATAATAATATTCATGAAAGCAATTTAAATCACAAATACAGACTCTACACTGAGAAAACAAACAATGAGAAAACAAACACCAAAAATTTTATTTAAAAAAATCCCTACAATCCCTCTGGGGCTGTAATTCTATGAAAGTGAAATGTACTCTTAGGGATTATCTCACTTTCAAAACTTAGGCTATAAAGATTAATCATCTGTACTTCTTCCTTTCTAAATCTGATAGGCACAATTCAAAATATTTTATGCAAATATACTTCATCATGCAGCATTATACCATTCGTTTCCATGAATTTATGAAGATCTAAGAATAAGTTGAAAGGCAACAGTTTTGAGCTCCCTGTGTGAGAAATCTTTCACTCTAAAATTCTCTTATGAACTAAACTAAAATAGGAAATCAGCTACCATTAAAATATTATCTTATTTTTATAAAAAAATATTTTCATATAGTTTTCTGTGGACAGAAAATATCTATATTTAATTCTTAGAAAGTAAATAGATATCATCTATTGAATAATAGAGCAAATGAAAAATGTGCTTTCAATCAATAACATAACCAAATCCAAGGCTTGGAGACTTGCTATAACACAAAATTATGGTGACTAATTTTAAATGGCAAATTATTCACACCACTCATCAAAGTTTTACTGATAATGACAAATTTTAGTTCAGTTTGTCTTCTGAAACGGTATGATAAAATTATCCAAAGAAACCAACATGATCTGAGCTTAAATTATATACTGTAAAACTCATAAATTGTGATGATTAACCTATGGACAGATGTGGGATCAGGTGATTGAGGGTGCTGGTGGAGAGTTTCTATGGGAATGGTTGGATATATGCTCCAGCGTCCTTAGGTGGTACTTTCAGCAGGTGTGTTAAAAGTAGATGAAATAAAAACCAAACTGAAAAAGATTACCATTTGTTATAGATTTAAGGAATTATAAAGGCTATATTCAAATGGAACATGAAAATTTATATTTTTCATTCGGGTAATAGCTGTTGGAAGTCAAGAGAAAAGATATAAATAGGCTGACAGTGTCCATTTAAACAGTTAACACTGACTTGTAAACAGCTAGCGTAGAAAACGTGGTGGGGACTAGTAGCAAGCTGGTAGGCCCTCTGTGTGGGAGGCGAGTCAGCGGGCACTGACCACAGCCAGCCCTGTGTGCACAAGAACCCCAATCCCATGAGCCGCATCTAAGAGCTCAGAACGTGAGATGGAAAAATTATTAAACTAAAATGTTTTCCTCCTTCCTTTGCAACTAATGCAAAAGACGCTTTTTTCGCCCCCTGCTCCTGGAGTTGTGAGAGATTGGGGTTATTAAAAGGAAAGGGGAAGAAAAAGATTTGCAGGGGGAGGGGCAAGGAGACCGTTGAAGAAGAGGTAGCCATTCATTAGCACGAGGACCACTCGGGTATCTAGACCCGGGACTCCATCCCCAAAAGGACTCATAAGAGGGTGCTGCTAGTTAAGAGCTTATCACTTCCTCTGCAAAACCCTCCGCTGAACTCAGCAGCCATGAAGCTTTGGAAATACAGTCACTTGGTTTAAAATAGCCATGTGTTTAGGAGCTTGCCTGTAGCTGCACTCACTGCTGCCTACACTTGATTATACTTTCCTTTTAGCTCACACTCTCATTGAGCTTGAAAATGTACAGGAAATTCAAAGTGGCACAAAGAAGTACGCACCACTTCTCTCTTTACCGCACCCAAATTGGGTCGTTAACAGGAAGACTTTAATGCTAAAATTTTGAGTAGATCGCCCTGGTTGGTATGTTCGCGTTTCATGCATGCCTGTTTTATGCTAAGGACTGAAGAGAAACAGTTGATAGATATATTAATTAGAAGTTTGTTCACACCTCTATTATTGACCCAAATAATTTCTAAGCTTGTTTTTGTTAAATTGATTAAAAAGTGATGTATGGATTTACACATCTTGCTTTCTGCAGCAAATAGCATGTAATATTTTCACATGATGACAATTTTAATCAACACATACAGACCTAGAATCACAGGCCAAGTAAACTAATATTCAACATTTATTTGAAATAATATATTCAATGTAAAGTAAGACATACTTTCCCTCTGAAGTGTGAAATTTAACTTATTAGATCAGTCAGGAGAATTAGCTCATAAAATGAAATGTAAATTTATTCTCCGATTTAAGGATTGAAAAAATTGGCTGAAAACTGAAAAGAAGGTAGCTTTTCTGGTTCATTTTTGCCTTTAATTTATTACTGGAAGTCAGCTTGTACTGTGTTGGATTGTATGATGTAACATACATATTGTGTTGCATTACATATATGAATGAGAGAGAAATGAAAAACGAGGTGCTTGCATATTATTTTGGTTGGAGGCAGCAAAGAAAGGGAGTTTATTCAAAGGCTGTCAGTCGGGCAAAAGGCAGTGCACAGTTTGACGCAAATAAATTGGATAGCAGCACAATCGCTGGCTCTTAAGTTTACCCTATTTCCTGAATTTCTATGTATCCTTAGAGTCAAAGAAATAGGGAAGAAGAATAGGTTTGCTTATCAGAGCAATCTATAAATACATACCAATAATCATATCCTCAAAAAGAGAGTAGAGTCATCTAATAAGTCAGATTTCACAGAGTTATTATTTTGTTCTGACTATTCCTAAACATTCACATTCAGTATGTTTCGTTTTAAAAACAAGCTTTTTAAAAGTTGTCATGTAGATACTTCAAAGAAAATTCAGGAGAGGAAATGAATTAGCAAGTAGTCCCTGAAATTAAACTCATCCACTACGACTATTTTAGTTATAATTCTACCTATAGTTTGTTTTTTTAAGTTAGTGAAAATAATACCACATATATAATTTAGCATTTCCCACTTAATCTTATTGAGCATTTTTTTTGCATGCTGCTATAACACCTTCCTAGTCATTATCTTTATGCCCACATGAATGGTAGATAATAAATAGGTTGTTTCTATTTTTCTGTTGTGGCAAAAACAGACCTTTTTGTTTCATAAATGGTAAAGTTAATATAAATATTCTGGGTTTGCCTAGAAAGTAGGAGACTGACATTGTAAACAAGGTCAAGATATTCCTTCAAAAATCACATCATTGCCAAAATTTTAATACAGTGAAGCAAAACAAACAAAAATCACGAAAACACTTACCCTTACTAGCTATTGGTCAGCAAAGAAATGAAAAACAAAGCATATTTAAGTGGGTTAAGAACATATTTACTTCTATGACTAGTCATAATAATTTTATTATTTTCTTGGTTTCTACTAGTGACTCTAAAATTTGTTCTTCCAAGAGATGATCAAGAAAGGAGAAAAAAGGAATGTGGTGGAAGTCAAGGAAGGGACGAAAACACTAAGGGCCCAAGGGCATCTCTGATAGAGGTCACGGTCAGTGTTGTCATTCCTATGAAGTAGAAACACATCTCTCTCCCCTCCCCTCCCCTCCTCACCCCTTCCTTTTCTCCCTCTCTTCCTTCCATTTTTCTTTCTTAAAGAAAGATAAAACAGCAGAGCCTGCTCTAATAGGAAACTTTACTAAAAGCCTGGGGTAGAACAAAGCTGTTGCTAACACAGCTGAAACAGTTTGGCTTTTTAGACCAAATTTGTCTTTTTTAGAACAAGTTGATCAAGGGGCTAGAAAATTCAGTTCTGCTTAGGCTGACCAATACCGCCTTGACAATAGTAAAAGGTTTTGCTAGAAAGAGATTACATGACTATCGGAATCAACTGAGTAGTGGATCCTTAACTCATTAATTGTGTATCACGCAGTCATTGCCTCCAGGCCCTAGCCCAGGGTTTCCCGACCGCTTTTCTTGCCTCTCTGTGCAAGATGGGTGACATCCATGAGCTCAGCACACTCCTGGGGTATTCCTCGCACTTAGGATGTCAACACAAGTGAATGAGTGAGACACTTTTACAAAAACAATATTCAAGTCACTGTAACTCAGTGGTTCTCAAATGGAGGTGATACTTCCCCGTCTTCAACCCTGCCTTCTGGAACACCTGGCAATGTGTGCAGGTATTTTTGGTTGTCAGACCTAGATGGGGTAGGGGAGGGGCATGCTACTGGCATATAGTGGGTAGAAGCAGCCAGGGATGATGATAAACATCCTATGATACAGAGGACAGACCTTCCCCAAAGCCCTGAAACAAAGGATTATCTGGACCAAAATGTTAACAGTGCCAAGGCTAAAAAATCTTGTTCTATCTTACAAGAAAAAAATCATTCTACTTCTGGTCAGGATGTTGTAATTAAAAACAGATTTAGCCTCCTACCTGAAACAACTATAAATTCAGAAAAAAAATTTATATGAAAAAACAGCTCTCAAAACATTGAGCATCAGGCAACGTGAGTGATTCCTGAGAGACGGAAAATAAGTGAGGTAAGCCTTAAGTTGCCCCAGGTTAATGCCAGGGAAACTTTCCAAGCTGTAGCACAAGGAACAGAAACCCAGGAAGAGCCCGTGGTCTCCCTCAGTTGAGAAAATGGAGCTGACCATTCAGAAAGGCCAACATGGCTGAGTCTGCAGAGAAGACTTCGGTATTCAGCTGAATACTAACCACCTCATGCATGCGAGGCAACTACCTGAGGCCAGGGAAAGAATCACCCTCAAGGATTAGAGGGGACAAAACTCACACTGAGCCTGGAACGGTACTTGTTTCCAACAGCCAGAACATAAAAACCTGAAAATTCAGGGGGCATCAGTGAGAGTCCTTAAGAAGCATCCTGGTTCAGAACTGGGGAAAATTAACCCTAGACGACACTGTTTGGTCCCACCTAACAAAACTTAAAAGCAGACTGAAAGGATCAAACTGTTTTCAGGTAATTTAACTTTAACTGTGTCTTAGAATAAAGGTCAAGAACATGTTCATGAAGAAAACTACACCAAGGTACATCATAATCAAACTTCAAAGCCAGTGTAAAATCTGTAAAGCAGTTAGAGGGAAAAAAGACACATTATGCAGAAAGGACCAAACAAAGACGATAGCACATTTCTCATCAGGAAATAAAAAAGCAATTTCACTGAGTGTGGCAAAATCTGTAAAGTACTGAAAGAAAAAAAAATCTTTCAAAACAAAGGTAAAGACTTTTTCATATACAAATAAAAATTCATCACCATCGGACCTGCACTGCAAGAAAAGTCAAAGGAAGTCATTCAAGAAGTAGTAAAATGTCTCTATACGAGAATGAAGAACACCAGAAGTGGTAACCATGTAGGTAAGTATGTAACATTTTATCATATTATTTAAGTTTCTTTAAAAGGTAATTGTTTAAGGTAATAATAATAATAATAATAATAATAATAATAACAACAACAACAACAACAACAATAGCAGCAGCAATGTATTGTGGGATTTCTAACAGAAGTAAAAGTTAATTGTACGACAAGCATGGTCCAGAGGCCAGGAGGGGAGAAATGGAAGCATGCTAATGTAAGGTCCATATGTTATGCACGAAGTGATTATATCACAAGAAGATGGACTGTGATAAATTGAAAGGTATATACTTTAAACCCCAAAGCACAAAGGTGACTAGGGTTGAGCACATATTCTATCTTTAATTGCTTGAGCTTAAAATGTCTTTGTTTAAGATAACCAGATGCGATACTGAAGGGTGCCTAAAAAGAGGATAGGGTAGTTATTTGATGCATAAAGAATAGGAGAATAAAATAATGCGTATCAAGTTGTACTCCCCTAGGAAATTTTCAGAGTAAAAGGGTGCTGAGTGAAAAGTCAGAATTTGAGCTGAAAGCTACAGGCAAACTGATTTATTACAGGAGAAACTAGAGAATTTTTGTAAAGGAGTGTAACAAGTTAGAACATCTGGTCTAATGGTTATTAAAGCTATGTTTGAATATGTTTCTATCATTATTACATACTTTATTAATCACTTGTAAATTTAAATGAAAAATATAGTTCTTAATGATTTAAATTAGCATGCAGAAAATAACATGAATATTAAGGTATTTAGAAAAAGAAAGTTGGCTTGATGACTTATTTTTTTTTTTTAATCAATCTATAACAGAAAACAGTCCTAGGATAATTAAGAACAACTCTAGAGAGCGATGGCTCATCATTTTGGTATTCTGAAATCAAGGCCAATCAATTTGACTTTGCAATACTTTTCCCATCCGTATAGGGCACATAATTTAAAATTGCAGTAAGTTGAAATAAAACTTCTTTTGAGAAGTTTTGGAGAATTTTCTTATATGCTCTCGAGATTCCCAGAGATACCACAATGCTTGGAAAATTCATGACTGGAAACCACCAGCACCCTTTACCCGAGATCTGTGTGAAAAATTATATAACTGATTCTATGACTACTAATATGAAGCTATTTTTATTCAATCAGAATTAATTAATGATGCAAACTCTAATACTGAACAAATTTGCTTCAGACAATTTTATATCTTATTAAGGTTATTCATTGATAATCAAATTATTTTTTTGCAAAACTTACAAAGCTGAGCATCTGCATGGAGAGTTCCCCCTTTCGGATTCAGCTTCTGGGCTTGAATGGCAGGCATGGGTTTATACGACTGACCTGTGGCCCTATACATGGCCTGAACCCATAATATTCTGTCCTGTTCATCATCACTGGCAAATATAACAGTGTCTCCTTCTTTAACTGCGTTAAAGAACATCTGACCCCCCTGGAGGCCTGTGGAGGAAAAAATACATCATTAAAAACTGACACAATTGGCAGAATTTAATCTCATTCACCTAACGATCTCATGGAAAAGAACTGATCTGATATTAGCAGCTCAGTGCTTTAAATGATTTTCAGTGGAGGATCAAACCCATGATCCAAGAATTGCAGGAAAAACAATTAGAGAAAGGTTTAGATTTCCGTATCACTTGGAAAACTAAAAAAATTGAGGGAAGTAAACAGTCGATGAAACAGTAGCATTTGGCAAGACTTACAAACCTATCGCACAGAAATGCATAATATAGTCTGGTATTTCATGCCAGAGAAGAAAGTGCTTATCGGTTGGCACATTTCTCATTCTATATGCAGGGGAAATATTTGATGAATTTAGCAGAAAAAAATACAGATAAGGCAAAAATGATACTTACATTCCAGGGTATTTTATTTTTTGGAAAATTCTTTAACAGAGAAGGTATTTTGCCTTTTTAAATGACTGGTTAGTCCCTTCCACCACCATATATTTGATCCCTTTTACCCTCATCTACCACCCTCCTCCCAGCCTTGTAACTTTACTAACAATTGTCACCCCAATAAACTTTAATTAAAAAAAAAAGACTGATTAGCGAACGTGATCACAGATTTCTACTTTAATCTTTCTATATTAATTTCTTAATTTATGTATTTATTGATCTCTATATATTTAATATCACTTTATGAATTTCACTAATCTCCATTTGTTCTTTCATTCACTCACTCCCTCATCAGTTTTAGAAAGCAAGTGTCTAGTACTACACCAACTATTAACACAGAGGGAGAGAGAAAAGAACAAGAAAGTGCTGTTGGGGACAAAATTGGCAGAATATATAATAATTCACTTGCCATTTCTTTCCCTATTTTTGTCTCTTTTTCCTTTCCAGTAAAGAAGTGTATGTAAGCATTGATGATATTTCTCATGCAGTTTCTCTACTACAGGAACTTTCACATATTTCATCCTTATATTAAGAGAAATGATGAGTTATGGCTAAAACTAAGCAGCCCTCAAAAAGAGAGAATCTGAATTTCATCAAGTCTTATTCCTGTATATACGTGAAATGTGCATCTCATTTGTTAAGTGGAGATTGAAACGCAGAACAGACACAGGACATTTATGAGAATTTCATGAATGTGTGAATAGCAGGTTAAGTGATTCCACTTAAAGTTACCTGGGTGGGGGTCGGTGTAATCCACAGTGTATCCTTCAAGCTGCATTAATTCCTGTGGTTCTGACTTTTTTTCTCTGTAACTGCACATGGCAAAGGTGTATTGGCTAACCTGCATGAGAAAAAATTTGCAGATTGGTTACGTTAAATTTATCTTTTAGATTTTCCTTTTCAGAAGACTTTTTGTCTGAATGGAAAATAACATCATTTGTATATAAAGTATTAAATGCTAGTATTTCCCGAAACCTAGTGTCAGGATTACAGTGCCTTTCATTCATCAGCTTGCCGATCGACCTTCCATGCCTACGATCCAGCATTTCCCAAATTAATGATCTGCTGGCCAAGATTCTATGAGATGTTAACAGAAGCACCATCAAAAACTAGTCACGTAAAAAATAAGTTTGGGAATCACTGGGTTAAATAAAGATAAGCAGGCTCCTTGTACTACAGGCTTCCATATGTCCTTTAGTTTCTAAGACACAGTGTGTCTCTCAGAGTGAGATGGATTTGGAGCACTCTCAAACTTATATGGTAATGCAGCCACATTTTCAAGCATACTTATTTCAAGAGTTTTAACCAAAGTTAAAAAAAAAAAACCTCAATAAAATTTGGGAATTCATTGGCCCACATATTAAACCCACAGGAAATTCTAGGGTGAAGTTTTAGGCAGCCAGCGAATGAACAACCTAGAGATCTGCTCTCTCCTTTCCGCTGCTCTTGTGCAACTGGTTTCGTGTTTTTATGCTCAAGTCTCACTGAGCTAGAGCCATAGCTGCCAACATCTCTGCAGTCACCATCCTGATTGTTCCAGCTCGGGTCACAAGGCCATATTTGAACCAATCACTGTGGCCGAGGAGCTACAATATACCAGTATTGCGCAGGTTGGGTCACGAGCTCACATCTCCATCAAAGAATGTTGAATGCTACCACAGGCAGGCTCTTAGGAGTTCCTCCCAAATGGAGAGCGGGTGGTGCTGCTCCCAGCAGGAGAGACGAGTGCATGGTGGGTTAATAAATATCTAAACTGCAAACTATCCTAAAACACGGGATGCCATGGGAAAGTTTGGTTATTGTGAATTCTGTCCCTTTAAGCATGACATGACACTAAGGGAACACAAAAATATCTTTGAATGGATGAAGATTACGTAAAGAGGACTCAAAAAGGAGCCACTTTTTGAAAGAAAAAAAGAAGAAAGAAGAAAATGATTACATGGACATTAAAACAAAGAAATTCTCCTAATTAAAGGGCACCATGAAAAAAGTAAAAAGACACTGCCACAGACTAAGAGAAGGTGTACGCAAAATATATATTCACCAGGGAACTAACATCTCCTAACGTGGGGTGACGGGTAAGTGTCAAAACTGAGGTTCCCTGGAGCAGAGAAAATTCTGCACCATCAGGTCCTGTGTGAGTTTCCTGCCAGCTGGCCTCTCTGGAGAACCCTGACTGATAACAAAAGACTTGGTATTTATTATGTATTCGCTTCCATCAAGCAAATCTCCTTCTAAAAACCTATCCCAAGGAAACAAATGGACAAACATTCAAAGATGCATGTGCACTGTATTCACTACAGCACTGCACATAAGAAAAACTGAAAAACCAGCAGTGGTTTGGTTGAATACATTACAGCATGACCACCCATTATAATGCTATACAGCCATTAAAAGAAATATGACCAATTTTTTCCATCTGGACTTTGAACTATTTCTAAGATACACTGTAAAATAAACAGATTAAAGGGGGCTGGCTGAGTGGCTCAGTTGGTTAAGAGCGTGAGCTCTGAGCAAAAGGGTCACCGGTTCGATTCCCACATAGGCCAGTGAGCTGTGCATGAGCTGAGCTGCTGCTGAGCTGCCAACAGGTGGCAGGATGGCTCAGCTGGTGAGAGCACGTGCTCCTAAAAACAAGGTTGCTGGTTCGACTCCCACATGGGATGGTGGGCTACACCCACCCGCAACTAAAATTGAACACGGCACCTTTAGCTGAGCTGCTGTGAGCTGCCGACAGGCGGCCGGATGGCAACTGGACTTGGAGCTGAGCTAGCTGCACCCTCCACAACTAAGATTAAAGGACAACAACCTGGCTGTTCCCCTTCCCCAACTCCCCAATAAAATCTTTTTTTTAAAAAAAGGGGGTTAAAAACAAAAATGTGAGTGTGCTTTTTGGGTAAGCACTCTACTTACACATAAATAGGATACATACAAAATTATTAATAGTGATTATTATTAGGTGGTGAAATTGTAGGTTATTTTAAATTACTTTTTCAGTGAATTGTTTTCAAAGAATATAAGTTATTTTTTAATAATAAAAAAGCACAGCTATTTGCATTTTGGAAGAAAAAAAACCCAACCACAAAGCCTTGTCTGGGAAGAGTGAGGTCGATAACTTGAGACTGTGGGTCTTGCTACGTTTTCCTTTTCTTTCCTCATTTCAAAGACTCAGTGAATTTGCTTTTTCACCTGCCTGTGCCTGAGGCTTACAGAGAAGCATAGGAATCCCGGAGGGTTTATTATTCAAGGTTTCAGCTTCCTTGTGTAAAAGGTATGATTGTGTGGTTTTTGAGGGGCTTGTGTGTGTGTGGGGGGTGAGCAGTAAACAGTAACATTACATTCTATTTTTTATTCTAAAAAGCTCATTCTCTTACTTATGGACAATAACTCAGTCCAAAGCCCCACTATTCTTCCAGAGTGATTTAACGTATTAACCTTAAAATATTTTGAAATATTTCAAACAAAAGTACAATAACATATTAAACATGTATATGCCCACCATTCAGCTTTGTTGAATCATAACCTTTGGTGTGTGTGTGTGTATACTCGTATATGCTTTAAGATTCTTTGTTTGTTTTCTAAGAACACATAGTTAATGCCTATATGTACCTAATCAAATCCATGTCCTTTTCTCTCTCTCGCCAGCGGTAATCACCATGCTGAATATTTTGTGTATATTATTTCCATGCATGTTTTAAAAACTTTATTAAATATAAGTTATTTTAGGTTCCTGGACCTAATTCCAGTGTGTGTGTGTGTGTGTGTGTGTGTGTGTGTGTGTGTGTGTCTGTTTCCACACCAACAAGCAATGCTGGGCACTGCTGGCTGTTCTACAATTTTAACTCAATTCTGACACTATGTGCCCAGAGACAGCATCAGATTCCATAGTTAAGGGTTCAGTCCCCCTACAAAACTGTCCCCATCGCAGCGCCCCACCCCTTCAGACACCTTCTCAAGCCCAGGTGGTTGCCTGTGCTTCTGCCTGAGCAGCTGCAGACCAGAGATTCCCACGACCCCCTCCTCGGTATTTCTGACTGGCTTGCTATTCATCAGAAGTTCCAAGAGTCCCCTCCCTTCATGCGTTAAATTTCCTACAGAGGCTCCAAGAACTCAGAGAAGCATTTTACTGACTAGATTACTGGTTTATTATAACGGAATAAAACTCAGGAAGAGCCGGAGGGAAGGAATGCACAGGACAGGGTACGGGGAAAGGCACGGAGCGCCCATGCCCTCTCCAGCTGTGCCTCCTCCCCAGTCTCCACGTGTTCACCAAACTAAAGCTCTCCAACCCCCCCTTTTGACGTTTTCTGAAGGTTTCATTACACGGGCATGACTCATTAGATCACCGGCCATTGGTGACTGACCCCATCTCCTGCCCCTCTCCCCAGCAAGGTCAGGGGGTTGGCACTGCCAAGTTTCAACCCTCTAATCTCAAGGTTGGTTCTTTTGGCCACCAGTCTCCATTCTTAGGTGGGGTCTAAAAGTCACCTCATTAACAAAACAAAAGATAGCTTTTTACTCTCTTTACTTAGAAAATTCCAAGGGTTTTACAAGCTCTGTGTCAGAGTGGCTATGAAGACCAAACACCGGCACACCTCCTTGTATTGTATTTCCCTTCACTGTGCTTCACAGATGTTGCATTTTTTACAAATTGAAGGTGAGGCCCTCTACCAGCAAAAAGATTATGACTCACTTTATTGTGACACTCACTTTATTGCTGTGGTCTGGAATGACCCTCAATATCTCCCAGGTATAC